CAGGGTTATTTTATAAATAGTAATGTTAAACTAAAAATTATTAAACATTACATTACATTATTAAACATTACATACCTATTCTATTAAAAATCAACAGTTGTTCGTTTTATAAAATTTAAATCAATAGCATAATGAATTTCATGTTAGCTTAATATCGAACTATTATTTTGTAAATATATTAATGTCAATTACAGTTGAAATAATTAAGCTAAAGAATTTGATTTTAACAAATTATATAATCAATTTAATATATTAATAAATCATAGCATTTAAAGTTAAAACAGAAAAAAAAGATTGTTTGCTTTTACTACCAAAAGAAATTTTAAAAACCACCTCTGTGTGATTAAATTTGGTTTAGGTGTTATGTTGAAAGCAAATATTCCTTTGTATTGTAAGCTTTGGGGTGTTGAAAGATTTTAGTTTAGGACATATGCACAGGAATTACATTTTAATTTAAAAATTATTAGTTGATTAATTTATTTATTTTTATAACAATATAAAAATTGATTATGAGTTATATTTTTTAAATAATAATAACATTTCATTTTTACAATAAAATTTTTACCGATTTTTTTTTCGTTTTCTAGATTCTAATTTAATTTAGGAATGATTCTTACTCTAATCTCTAATGAAATGATATGAAGTGAATGAAGTCCATCATCATCGTGATTCGTGGGTGCTGGGAAAATGAATGAAATCTTTATTTCAGAAAAATGAGGATCGCTAATGAACTTTTATAAATCTTCGAGTTTTCTGATGCATCAAAAAAATGGCAATATCTTTTTAACGATTAAATACGGCACCTTATAAAACCTAAAACTTCACGGAATGTTGAAAACGAAATAAATTTTAACAAACAAGTTGAATGCAGATCGGCAAAGAGTCGTTAACATAACTTCGGGAAGGCCAAGATTTTTTCTAATTATATCTCAGATTTTTCTAAAAATAAACCAAAATGCTCATGAATAATTAATTTTTAGGAACTTGCTTCCAGAGGTAACTTGCCCGTTGAAAAAAAATTTTCAATGTTAAAACGCTGGTAGGGCGCTTCCAGTTATATAATTCCATGGTTCTGCCTGTGTATATTTTGTCAAATTTATTTATAGGAATTGAATGTAACCTTTATACCGGCTGATTAACTACCATGCAGTAAAATAACTACTGTTGACACTATTTCCTCCAACGATTTCGCAACGAATTGCCCATACCATATAGGGGAGATGGGGGCTCATTGATCTCTGGGGCACATTGATCTTTAAGCAATAACATAGCTATTTCTAAATATAAATGTAGGCCATCACTATTTTAGTTTTCCTTTTGTTTCTATTCTACTTTTAATCCTATTTGTTTATGGACTTTCTGCCGCTGAAGTTCGAAAAATTCGTAAGTTTGATTTTACAGGGAAAAACCAACTATTCACAACAGGTTAGTTTTGTAAATTAAAAATCAGATAAATATTTGTTTGATAAATTAAATTTTGCAATGTGTAAAGATATGTCAGAGGCTTATTTTATTATTTACTTCGATTTTCAATCACAACTTATTGATGAGATATCGCCATTATAGTGTGCTCCATGCCATGGGGGCTCCTTGATCTGTACTAGTAAGGGGTACGTTGATCTGAAGATCAAAGTGCCCCTACTGTCCTCAGAAATAATTCTCCAGGATGTTTAGTCATTTTTCTCTAACCATGCAAAATGCTATTTTTCCATTATTGTAAAATGTAATTTGTGTACTTTGCAGGTTTGGTTTCATAATGGTGAGATATCGGGAGCGAAAAACTAATCGAGGTAAAACACCTGTTGAAGTGATGAGAACAGCAGTTGATGAAGTTCTGAAAAAGAACAGAGCTATCAATGCTGTTGCATGTGAAACTGGAATTGACCGAATGACATTGAAGCGATATGTTCGGAAGAGTAGTCTCAGTCCAAGTGTAGGTTTGATACCGAATTGGAATACAAGGCAGGTATTCAATTTAGAACAAGAAGAGATGCTTGCAAAGTATTTGCTGCAAGCATCTAAGATGAACTATGGACTATCCACCAAAACAACTCGCCAGTTCGCATATGATATAGCCGTTGCGAATAATATAACATGCCCATCTTCATGGTCAATGAAAAAAACTGCTGT